ACAACCCCTTAGCCACTGCATCCAGTGCTGCGCATGGCGCAAAACTCGGATCATGGCTCTTGGCGCAGCTTCTTACCTGGCGTCCATCTCACTCTCCCCGGGAGTTGCCGCAGCTTGAGCGTTCGCCGCTTGAGTGTCAACTGCAGCCTGGCAGTCACCCCGTGTCACATGCAACAGTCAGGCCGACTAAGAGCAACGGACACACCCACACACTCACTGGGCCGACCAAAAAGGGTGGGGGGGGGGGGGGGGGGGGGGGGGAGGAGAGACTTTACAGCAACTTGCTATGCCGTCATGCTAAGTCAAGGCTCTTGTGCTAGCAAGTTGAGTCAGGGCAAGGTCTCTTTTCCACCATGCATGCTGTGATATGCCATGCAATGCCATGTCATGTCATGTCATGTCATGTTATGTCACGCTACGCGATGGCATTCCCTGCCATGCCATGTGATTCTGTACCATCCCATTTTATGCTACACTTCTGTTCCAACCAACCAACCATACCGGGGTCTCCGCGCCCACCCCCCTCCCCCCTTCTTCTGCTCCCGCCCTCCAGGCGGTGCTGCCGATATCGTGCCTCATGCCCTTCGTTCTCAGCTACACAGTCTTTGGCTCAGAAGCTCTTGATACGTGCCCTCTCCTACCCCCTTTCCCCCCATGCCCACACCCACTTCTCCTCCCATCCTGCAGGTGGTGCTGCGATATCATGCGTCATGCCCTTCGCCCTCAGTTACACCATTTTTTCTTCAACACCTCTCTCAACTTTTTATAACCTAATGTTTGCCCGATACAAGCCATCTCTCCCGCCCTCCACGCCGTGCTTTTGATGCCAACCCTCATGCCTGCCACCCTCAGCTACACCATCATGGGCGCAGCAGTGCTTCATATGTGCTCTCTCCTACTCCCCTCCCCCCTCCCTCTTCCCCTCAAAACTAGCTTGTGATTCAGACAGTTTTGAGACGCCTCAAAACTAGCTTGTGATTCAGACAGTTTTGAGACGCCTCAAAACTAGCTTGTGATTCAGACAGTTTTGAGACGCCTCAAAACTAGCTTGTGATTCAGACAGTTTTGAGACGCCTCAAAACTAGCTTGTGATTCAGACAGTTTTGAGACGCCTCAAAACTAGCTTGTGATTCAGACAGTTTTGAGACGCCTCAAAACTAGCTTGTGATTCAGACAGTTTTGAGACGCCTCAAAACTAGCTTGTGATTCAGACAGTTTTGAGACGCCTCAAAACTAGCTTGTGATTCAGACAGTTTTGAGACGCCTCAAAACTAGCTTGTGATTCAGACAGTTTTGAGACGCCTCAAAACTAGCTTGTGATTCAGACAGTTTTGAGACGCCTCAAAACTAGCTTGTGATTCAGACAGTTTTGAGACGCCTCAAAACTAGCTTGTGATTCAGACAGTTTTGAGACGCCTCAAAACTAGCTTGTGATTCAGACAGTTTTGAGACGCCTCAAAACTAGCTTGTGATTCAGACAGTTTTGAGACGCCTCAAAACTAGCTTGTGATTCAGACAGTTTTGAGACGCCTCAAAACTAGCTTGTGATTCAGACAGTTTTGAGACGCCTCAAAACTAGCTTGTGATTCAGACAGTTTTGAGACGCCTCAAAACTAGCTTGTGATTCAGACAGTTTTGAGACGCCTCAAAACTAGCTTGTGATTCAGACAGTTTTGAGACGCCTCAAAACTAGCTTGTGATTCAGACAGTTTTGAGACGCCTCAAAACTAGCTTGTGATTCAGACAGTTTTGAGACGCCTCAAAACTAGCTTGTGATTCAGACAGTTTTGAGACGCCTCAAAACTAGCTTGTGATTCAGACAGTTTTGAGACGCCTCAAAACTAGCTTGTGATTCAGACAGTTTTGAGACGCCTCAAAACTAGCTTGTGATTCAGACAGTTTTGAGACGCCTCAAAACTAGCTTGTGATTCAGACAGTTTTGAGACGCCTCAAAACTAGCTTGTGATTCAGACAGTTTTGAGACGCCTCAAAACTAGCTTGTGATTCAGACAGTTTTGAGACGCCTCAAAACTAGCTTGTGATTCAGACAGTTTTGAGACGCCTCAAAACTAGCTTGTGATTCAGACAGTTTTGAGACGCCTCAAAACTAGCTTGTGATTCAGACAGTTTTGAGACGCCTCAAAACTAGCTTGTGATTCAGACAGTTTTGAGACGCCTCAAAACTAGCTTGTGATTCAGACAGTTTTGAGACGCCTCAAAACTAGCTTGTGATTCAGACAGTTTTGAGACGCCTCAAAACTAGCTTGTGATTCAGACAGTTTTGAGACGCCTCAAAACTAGCTTGTGATTCAGACAGTTTTGAGACGCCTCAAAACTAGCTTGTGATTCAGACAGTTTTGAGACGCCTCAAAACTAGCTTGTGATTCAGACAGTTTTGAGACGCCTCAAAACTAGCTTGTGATTCAGACAGTTTTGAGACGCCTCAAAACTAGCTTGTGATTCAGACAGTTTTGAGACGCCTCAAAACTAGCTTGTGATTCAGACAGTTTTGAGACGCCTCAAAACTAGCTTGTGATTCAGACAGTTTTGAGACGCCTCAAAACTAGCTTGTGATTCAGACAGTTTTGAGACGCCTCAAAACTAGCTTGTGATTCAGACAGTTTTGAGACGCCTCAAAACTAGCTTGTGATTCAGACAGTTTTGAGACGCCTCAAAACTAGCTTGTGATTCAGACAGTTTTGAGACGCCTCAAAACTAGCTTGTGATTCAGACAGTTTTGAGACGCCTCAAAACTAGCTTGTGATTCAGACAGTTTTGAGACGCCTCAAAACTAGCTTGTGATTCAGACAGTTTTGAGACGCCTCAAAACTAGCTTGTGATTCAGACAGTTTTGAGACGCCTCAAAACTAGCTTGTGATTCAGACAGTTTTGAGACGCCTCAAAACTAGCTTGTGATTCAGACAGTTTTGAGACGCCTCAAAACTAGCTTGTGATTCAGACAGTTTTGAGACGCCTCAAAACTAGCTTGTGATTCAGACAGTTTTGAGACGCCTCAAAACTAGCTTGTGATTCAGACAGTTTTGAGACGCCTCAAAACTAGCTTGTGATTCAGACAGTTTTGAGACGCCTCAAAACTAGCTTGTGATTCAGACAGTTTTGAGACGCCTCAAAACTAGCTTGTGATTCAGACAGTTTTGAGACGCCTCAAAACTAGCTTGTGATTCAGACAGTTTTGAGACGCCTCAAAACTAGCTTGTGATTCAGACAGTTTTGAGACGCCTCAAAACTAGCTTGTGATTCAGACAGTTTTGAGACGCCTCAAAACTAGCTTGTGATTCAGACAGTTTTGAGACGCCTCAAAACTAGCTTGTGATTCAGACAGTTTTGAGACGCCTCAAAACTAGCTTGTGATTCAGACAGTTTTGAGACGCCTCAAAACTAGCTTGTGATTCAGACAGTTTTGAGACGCCTCAAAACTAGCTTGTGATTCAGACAGTTTTGAGACGCCTCAAAACTAGCTTGTGATTCAGACAGTTTTGAGACGCCTCAAAACTAGCTTGTGATTCAGACAGTTTTGAGACGCCTCAAAACTAGCTTGTGATTCAGACAGTTTTGAGACGCCTCAAAACTAGCTTGTGATTCAGACAGTTTTGAGACGCCTCAAAACTAGCTTGTGATTCAGACAGTTTTGAGACGCCTCAAAACTAGCTTGTGATTCAGACAGTTTTGAGACGCCTCAAAACTAGCTTGTGATTCAGACAGTTTTGAGACGCCTCAAAACTAGCTTGTGATTCAGACAGTTTTGAGACGCCTCAAAACTAGCTTGTGATTCAGACAGTTTTGAGACGCCTCAAAACTAGCTTGTGATTCAGACAGTTTTGAGACGCCTCAAAACTAGCTTGTGATTCAGACAGTTTTGAGACGCCTCAAAACTAGCTTGTGATTCAGACAGTTTTGAGACGCCTCAAAACTAGCTTGTGATTCAGACAGTTTTGAGACGCCTCAAAACTAGCTTGTGATTCAGACAGTTTTGAGACGCCTCAAAACTAGCTTGTGATTCAGACAGTTTTGAGACGCCTCAAAACTAGCTTGTGATTCAGACAGTTTTGAGACGCCTCAAAACTAGCTTGTGATTCAGACAGTTTTGAGACGCCTCAAAACTAGCTTGTGATTCAGACAGTTTTGAGACGCCTCAAAACTAGCTTGTGATTCAGACAGTTTTGAGACGCCTCAAAACTAGCTTGTGATTCAGACAGTTTTGAGACGCCTCAAAACTAGCTTGTGATTCAGACAGTTTTGAGACGCCTCAAAACTAGCTTGTGATTCAGACAGTTTTGAGACGCCTCAAAACTAGCTTGTGATTCAGACAGTTTTGAGACGCCTCAAAACTAGCTTGTGATTCAGACAGTTTTGAGACGCCTCAAAACTAGCTTGTGATTCAGACAGTTTTGAGACGCCTCAAAACTAGCTTGTGATTCAGACAGTTTTGAGACGCCTCAAAACTAGCTTGTGATTCAGACAGTTTTGAGACGCCTCAAAACTAGCTTGTGATTCAGACAGTTTTGAGACGCCTCAAAACTAGCTTGTGATTCAGACAGTTTTGAGACGCCTCAAAACTAGCTTGTGATTCAGACAGACTGCGTGTGCTCCCCCCCAACCCCCTCCACCCATCCATCAGGCAGTGCTGGCGATGCCATGTCTCATGGCCGTTGCTCTCAACCACACCATCTTCCTCACCACCTCCTCTCTTCCAACCAACCAGTTCAATCTCCCCCGCTCACCCATCAGGCAGTGCTGCCAGAGTCATGCCTCATGACCTCCGCCCTCAACTGCACCATCTTCCTCACCACCTCTCTACGTGTCCAACCTACTTTCTGTGCAATCCATGCTATCGCTCCCGCCCTCCAGGCCCTGCTGTTGATGCCAACCCTCATGCCCTCCGCCCTCGTGCCATCTCTCCCGCCCATCAGCCTGGGCTGGTGATTGTTGAATCCATTCAAATAATCGTTTCAACTGCACCGTCTCTCCCACCACATCAGGTCGTGCTGTCCATGTCATGCCTCATGGCCTTTGCTCTCAATTACACCATCTTCCTCAACACCTCTCTCAACTCTGCCCTCACCCAAACCATGTGTGGCAACATCAAGGTGTGTGTGTGGCAACATCAAGGTGTGTGTGTGGCAACATCAAGGTGTGTGTGTGGCAACATCAGGGTGTGTGTGTGGGAACATCAAGGTGTGTGTGTGGGAACATCAAGGTGTGTGTGTGGGAACATCAAGGTGTGTGTGTGGCAACATCAAGGTGTGTGTGTGGCAACATCAAGGTGTGTGTGTGGGAACATCAAGGTGTGTGTGTGGCAACATCAAGGTGTGTGTGTGGTAACATCAAGGTGTGGTGGTAACATTAAGGTGTGTGGCAACATCAAGGTGTGGTGGTAACATCGAGGTGTGGTGGTAACATCGAGGTGTGGTGGTAACATCCAGGTGTGGTGGTAACATCGAGGTGTGGTGGTAACATCGAGGTGTGGTGGTAACATCGAGGTGTGGTGGTAATATCCAGGTGTGGTGGTAACATCGAGGCATGGTGGTAACATCAAGGTGTGTGTGGGCAAAGTAACATCAACGTGTGTGTGGGCAAAGTAACATCAACGTGTGTGTGGGCAAAGTAACATCAAGGTGTGTGTGTGTGTGAAAGGTAACATGTCACTGTGCATTCAGGTGTGCACACCCACCCCACCACTAGCGTCCTCAACACCATTCTCAACTCTGCTCTCCACTCTGTGCCTACTATTCTCATTTCCTAGACTAATCTCACCTCCTAAACTACTCCAGAATCCACATCCCTCCCCTGGCTGGTATCTGCAGGATTTAGGAACGGTTGGAATCGGTTGGGCACTTTTTGGAGGCTTGCCGTTTGACCTGGTAAGAGTGGCAAGAGTGGGGTAGGGAACGGTGTGAGGGGAAGGATTTTTTTTTCACTCTCGAAGGGGGAGATTTTGGCGATTGGGGGATAATATTGGATTATGGTGTGGGAGGGTTTTTATATCGTAACAGGGGTTTTAGGGTCTGCTATTTGAGTACATGTTGTTGTCTGATGTTTCTGTTCTCACGCTAGTTTTTTTTCATTGTTGATATTTTTTTCTGCAGGGCAATATTATTGGGCAAGTTATGGGGTTTATGGGTTCGGGTCTATATGCTTATTGCAAGATTAAAGGTATCTAGAAGCCAAGTTATATCTCGTGCTGTGTTGGGACCATATAAATGTCACACGTACTAATAGAAAATCATTAACATAATTCGGCAAACTTATCTGTGGAAAGATCCTCTTTTGTGCCAGATGGAAGGCCATCTACGCTACTGGTAATCTTGAAGAGGGTCTGCTAAAATATGAACTGTAAATGGATTTCTTTAAAGAGCAGAGAAAATTGGCATTGACAAGATTCACCATTGCACTAGCAGCCCACCACATGCAATCAGCATCAAAACTTGGAAGGAAATGAAACTGGAAGGAAAAAAAAAAGCACACTGGAAAGAAATTAAACTGAGATGCAAAAGCAGAACAGAATCCTTGCTCATCTTGCCCCTTCTATGCCCCATCTCCCTCACAGAACAGCACAAACACATGCACACAGACACACACGGCATCACCGCCACAAGCACGCCACATCACAAGCAGCAGGTCTTCTAGAAACACCCCCCCCCCCCCCCCCTCCTCTCCCCATGCATTAGAGGGTCATTCGGCTGCCATTCGCCGCTTCTCCCGGGCCCTGCCACCCTCCTCTGCTCCTCCATTGCACGTCTTCTGGCTGGTTCTCCAATCAAATGCCGGGCGCAGCACTACTCGCAGCACTGCTCGCAGCGCTGGCTGTGGGGGGCTTGGGGGCTGCGGTGGCAGTGGTGGGCTTGGGGGCTGCGTCCGAGGTGGCCTTTGCCCCCGGCGCCTGCTCCTTCGGGACGGCCGCCGTGCCAACAGTGGGAGCGACGGGCGTCTTGGGGGCTGCCGCACCCGAGTTGCGCTTACCAGCAGCGGGCGCCTTGGGAGCTGCGCCTGAGTTGCGCTTTCCAGCTCCCGCCGGCCCAGTTTTCTTCCCCCCGCGGTGGCGGTGGCGGCGGTGCTTCTTCTTGCCCTTCTTGGGCGGGACTCCCATCATGGACCCGACCGAGTTGCGCACCTTCCTCCCCGCCTGCCCGAGAGCGTTTTTCACGGCGCCGCTGGCGTCGTCCGACAACTGCTTCAGGTCCGCCGCTGCGTTCCCCATCGTGAGAAGCATCCGCGGGTCCTCCGAGTCAACGGAGTCAACGGAGGCAAAGTCAACGGAGTCAATCAAGGCCGCATCGCTGTCGGCCGCCTCGAGGAGTGCGCGTGGCTCGCTTGCAGCAGCGGGGGCCTTGGGGGCTGCTTCCGAGGTGTCCTTTGCTCGCGCCTCCTTCTTCGGGACGGCTGCCGCGCCAGCAGCGGGAGCCGCGGACGGCTTGGATGCTGCGTCCGGGTTGCTTCCCGTCTGCTTCTTCGGAACCCCCTTCGCGCCAGCAGCAGGAGCGGCGGGCGTCTTGGGGGCTGCCGCGCCCGATTTGCGCTTACCGGCAGCGGACGCCTTGGGAGCTGCGCCCGAGTTGCGCTTACCAGCTCCCGCCGGCCCAGTTTTCTTCCCCCCGCGGTGGCGGTGGCGGCGGTGCTTCTTCTTGCCCTTCTTGGGCGGGACTCCCATCATGGACCCGACCGAGTTGCGGCGCACGTTCCTCCCCGCCTGCCCAATGGCTTGCTTCACGAGGCCGCTCGCGACGTCCGACGTCTGCTTCAAGTCCGTCGCTACATCGCCCATCGCGAGAAGCACCCGCGGGTCCTCCGACTCCTCGAAGTCAACGGAGTCAATCGAGTCAACGGACTCCGGGACGGAGTCGAGTGAGGCATCGCTGTCAGCCACGAGGAGCGCGCGCGGGTCGTATGCTTGCTCGAGTGCGGGCTCGCTCGCGTCTAAGTAACCATCCGGAGGGAGCGCCGCGAAAACCGCGAGGAGGTTCAGAGAAGCCACGAGGACAAGGGTGAGCAGAAAACGAGGGCGAGGCGTACCCATGATGTTGGCTGTTGCTATCAGTGTAGCTGAGGAAGAAGCTCTGTGGAAGGTTGTACTGAATTAGATTTACTGCTGGAAGTAGTACTCATGTGAATGAGTTGTTTCCAACTCACTCCGCGTTAAATATGCTAACCATGTTTGCCTATTGCAGACTTCGCTGTAATGTTGCGGCTCGACATCAGATGAGGCGATCCCGCCCCATGATGCTTCTCGTAGCGCCTAAGTCGTTTTCTGGGCCTCATAGCGTCGGATGCGGCGGGGATCACTCGGGAACTTGGGCCACCCAAGTTTATGCTCTGCTCACAGTAATGGCAGTTCGTAATTATGAAACATGAGAACCTGCGGGTTGTGGGAGTGAGATCGAAAGAAAATGGTACGAGCGTTTTTTAACGGTCAGGAGTGGTAGAGAGGTGGTTCACTCCATCATCGCTTTTCAGGAGTTGCCCGAAATTTGCGGCCGAGCAATAATTGCGCACCTAGTATTCTCACACACCGCACATTTCGATACGCGTCTGCAAAAAATGCGCACTTAATTTGTATCGATTTCAAGATATGTACGTATATACAATCAGATACCTTCTCAAAATCTATTCAGGTCTTATGTGTGCACGACATGACACATTTACATGAGGTACACAAGTTTATTAACAGAAAATATTAAGTTTATAAGTTTGTTTCTCAACCTGGGCAGACATTTTTTCACCCTTGAACTTGAACGTAACTTGTGAACACTTGGGTGAATGGGTGTGTGTAACATTGTGCAATTAAAAACTCTTGCTGGAGTTTGGAGTACGTATTGTGCCAGAATTGTTTGGAGGAGTCAAGAATGTTTTGTGCAATTCAAGGCCTTGATGAACTTTTTTCTTTCAATCACAAACCCTTGCAGGAGTGTGTTGTGGAGTAAGTAAGTTCCTTTTACGAGGCTGCTTATTACAATACAGTGAAGCTTCAGTCGAGGATTTGGAATTCCACCAACCATTCCCTCCCACCAGCAGAGCACCCCTAACTCCAGCCTCATCCCAAGCTACAGTGCCCAAGCTCCACCTTGGGATTGGAGGAGACCAGCTCTGATTATGGGCGATGTTCAGCAGCTGGGGAATACAGCAAGGGATGGTGTCGACTGAAGAATTTGCTTTTTACGAGTGGCAGCGCTCTGGTCTAAATTTCCTGCTCGAGTTTCTTTTCTCAGCTGTGGGGACTCATTTGCAGTAGCGTACAGGCGGCAAGCATCACCGCATTCATTCACATTCTTTTATTTGTTACGTCACTAGATGATTACCGCATTCTTCACTTCATTCTTTCGATAATTTTGTCAGGGGAGCGCTCGTCTCTCGATAGTGACCTTCACATCCCGTTATTGTCACATCTCGGAACCGTCACCTCATCATCGCCATCGCCGGCGATCATGGATGCGAAGGTGCTGAGCTTCGGCGACGTTCTTCTGCGCGAGTGCGACGTGGCGACGCTGGAGTCGTCGCAATGGCTTAACGACAAAATCATCGAATTCTACTTCGAATACCTCTCGCGAACCCTCCTCGCCGCATCCGACCCCTCCGCTTCTGCCGCCGGCGCTGGCGCTGCCGCTGGGACAGCTAGCAGCAGCGCGGGAGGAGAAAGCAGCAGCAACGGCGCCGGCGGCGCTGCTGGTGCTGCGGCGGGAGGGGAGGGTAACAATAGCGCCGTGCTGCTGGTGGGGCCGTCGGTGTCGTTTTGGCTCAACATCTGTCCGAGCGATGATGACGTCACCGAGACCATGGCTCCCCTGGGCGTGGAAAACAAGGAGGTACTTGCACTCAGGACATTGCGTTCCGATTGCACTCAGGACATTGCGTTCCGATTGCACTCAGGACATTGCGTTCCGATTGCACTCAGGACATTGCGTTCCGATTGCACTCAGGACATTGCGTTCCGATTGCACTCAGGACATTGCGTTCCAATTGATTTCGTGTTTTGAGATGTCTCAAAACGTGTTTTGGGACGTCTCAAAGTACGAGCACTCAGGACATTGCGTTCCGATTGATTTCTTCCGTTTCTGTCACACACTGCTTCACGGGAGGGGAGGGTAGCAGCAGCGCCGTGCTGCTGGTGGGGCCGTCGGTGACCTTCTGGCTCAACATTCGTCCGAGCGACGATGACGTCACGGAGACCATGGCTCCTCTGGGCGTGGAAAACAAGGAGGTAGGGCGTGGAAAACAAGGAGGTAGGGCGCGGAAAACAAGGAGGTAGGGCGCGTATCCAGGCAGGACAATGCGTTTTGATTGATTTCACATCCGTGTTTTGTCCCGCACTGCTTCACGGCTTTTCCATGGCTCCCCTGGGCTGGAGAACAAGGAGGTACGGCAAGTTGGTGTCATTGGGTGGAAGGTGGTTTTGGTGGTAGTGGGTGGATGGGAGAAGTGGAAAGACGGCAATCTTTCGGAGGGAACGGAGGAACGGCAGTACCATTGCATTCGGAACCGTCCCGATCGCCTCCTCGCTTCCTTCTCACTGCCTCCTCGCTGCCTCCTCTCTTCCTCCTCGCTTCCTCCTCGCTTCCTCCTCGCTTCCTCCTCGCTGCCTCCTCACTGCCTCCTCACTGCCTCCTCACTGCCTCCTCACTGCCTCCTCACTGCCTCCTCACTGCCTCCTCACTGCCTCCTCACTGCCTCCTCACTGCCTCCTCGCTGCCTCCTCGCTGCCTCCTCGCTTCCTCCTCGCTGCCTCCTCACTGCCTCCTCACTGCCTCCTCACTGCCTCCTCACTGCCTCCTCACTGCCTCCTCACTGCCTCCTCACTGCCTCCTCACTGCCTCCTCACTGCCTCCTCACTGCCTCCTCACTGCCTCCTCACTGCCTCCTCACTGCCTCCTCACTGCCTCCTCACTGCCTCCTCACTGCCTCCTCACTGCCTCCTCACTGCCTCCTCACTGCCTCCTCACTGCCTCCTCCTTCTCGGCTTCCCTTCGCCTCCTATAATGCAGCTCCTGACGCGTCAGCGACAAAAAGCGCTCGCTCGGTGCCATCCTCGTTCAACATATCCTTCCTTCCTCACTGCCTCCCTCTCTTCTCCCCCACTCCCCGTGTTTTGAGTCGACTCAAAACACGAAACGCTTGCTCGGTGCCATCCTCATTCAAGATATCCTCCCTCACTGCCTCCCTCCCTCTCCTCTCTCCCCCACTCCCCATGTCTTCACGGCCCCTCATGCCCCTCAACGCCCTGGCAGTCAATGGCAACAATGACGCAACACTTTCAGCGAGGCAGGCTCAGCGTCATCTTCGTTCAACATATCCTCCCTCACTGCCTCTCTCTCTCCCCTCCCCCTCTCCCCTTGCTTCACTGCCCTCCTCCCTTTCTGTTGCCCTCACTGCTTGCCTTGTTCAACATATCCTCTGCATGGCAGCTCATCGCCCTCGCAGTCAACGACAACAACGACCCCACACTCGTTCAATGCTGTTCCCCCTCACTTCCTCCCTATCCTCTCCCCCTCTCCCTTTGCTTGCCTCTGCATGGCAGCTCATCGCCCTAGCAGTCAACGACAACAACGACCCCACACTTGCCGAGGCAGGCTCACACTGGAGTCTCCTCCTCTTCATCAGGTCAGCTAGGGCTGGATTGTTGCCAGTACCCTTTGCAGCTACACACGTCCACTGCTGTTCCCCATAAGGTCAACGGCAACAACAGCCACACACTTGCTGAGGCAGGCTCGCACTGGAGTCTCCTCCTCTTCATCAGGTCAGCTAGGGCTGGTGCCACTGCCCTTGCATTGCAGCTACACACGTCCGTTGCTGTTCCCCATAAGGTCAACGGCAACAACAGCCACACACTTGCAGATGCGGGTTCGCACTGGAGCCTGCTCCTCTTTATCAGGTCAGCTGGTGTTGGTGCCTTTGAGACGTCTTAAGAACGCAGCTGGCCATGCGGTGCTGCAAATATGGTCTCATGTGGGATGATGCAGCTACTCTTCATAAAATCAGGTGTCGCTGGTGCAAATAAAGTTACATATATCATATACGGGGTACTATCACACGACTGTTGCTGTTCCCCATGGCGTCAGCAGCAACAACAGCCCCACACTCGCACATGCAGGCTCGTATTAGAGTGGAGCATGCTGATGCTGCTGCCTGTTATCTAGTTTTGAGACGTCTCAAAAAGGTTTCTGGAGGGAACTTCGTTTTGTGCTCTGCTTGCTTGCTCACACCCTCTCCCCACTCAGCCCCTCGACAGGTCCCAGGTCCCACTGCCTGTGCTTGCTCACAGGTCCCACTGCCTGTGCTTGCTCACAGGTCCCACTGCCTGTGCTTGCTCACAGGTCCCACTGCCTGTGCTTGCTCACAGGTCCCACTGCCTCTTCCTTCTATTTGACAGCGACGGCTCGCGCAATCTCGGGCAGCACTCCTCTCATTTTCTTTTTCTAGTCGACTCAACGATGGAGCTAGAAATCAGCGGCACCCCCCTCCCCTTCCCCTCAAAGTCTGCCCAATCCGCCTTCTCTCCCCGCGCCACCGTCCTCACTCAATTTCTGCTCCCCTTCCATGCAATGCCAGCTCACACCTTTTCTCTCTCTTTCCCCGCTTGTCCCCACCGCAGGTCGCGTCGTCTCTTTCTCCACTTTGACAGCGCCGGTTCGCACAACTTGGAGGCAGCTAAGGGGCTTGCCGAGAAGCTTCAAGCCCTCCTAGGTGCGGTCTGGTGGGGGTGTGTTCTGCACGGTCGTTCTGCTGTAGCGGCGTTCTGTTGGGTACAGGGGCATTGTCGGAGGGGGAGGGGGGAAGAGAGGGGGGTGGGTCAAGTTCCCGTTCTGAACCATTTCCTCATTCTATTCCGTTACTCTTTCTTTGCCCCTGTTCAAATCAATCATTCTTTTACTTTTTTTTTCCTTATCCGCTTCCCTCTTGCCCACAGGCGTTACTGTGACTGACGACACTTTCCAATCAGCATCTACACCTCAACAGCTAAACGGATATGACTGCGGGGTGTACGTACTCGCTATAGCAAAGGCCCTCTGCGAGACAGCATCTGCTGCACCGGAGGGGAAAGCATCGGCAGAGGAGTTGGAGAGCTCAGCCAAAGGGGTGGATGCGGCAGCGGTTACCAAGTTACGGGGAGACGTGAAGCAGCTGATTCAACACCTGGGGAAGCAAAGCACAGAGTAAATGACGTGTGACCGCCGTGTTGCATCTTTAGCCGTGCTGCTCTGTGCGTGAAGACTCTGGTTGGGGAGACGGATGGCTGGGACCCACTCACTGGCAATGAAGCTGCTGCTTTCACGCCTGGGGAAGGAATGAGATGCGAGTGAAAGAAGTAGCACGTTGCAGAATTCACGGGGCTGCATTATGCATGAAGAATCTGGTTGGGGAGACGATGGCTGGGATGGGACCCACATGCTGGCAACGAAGCTGCTGATTTCACACCCGTGGAAGCATGCGAGTGAAAGCCATAGCGCCTGTATGTGTTGCAGATTTCTCTGGGCTGCCCCACCCCAGGCGATATGTGGCTAGGACTGGCAAGTGGAAAGAGAATGAAACGTTTCCATCCTGTGTTGCATAGTCCTCATTTTTGCCTTCCGGGGTGGCAAGGGATTGGAGGAGGTGGGTATGAATGTCTGCTACATGCCATGCCAAGTGCTGTGGAGACAAGACAAACCTCTGTTACTGAGAAATTCCTTGCATTGTACCACTTCTCTTCATTGCAGTGAATGGAGGTTTTAGAGGGGGGAGAGAGTTGTACACATTCCGACCCTACTGGTGTTCCTTGGATGGCCAGTAGCTCCTACCTACTGTACCACTTCTCTTCCCTCGCTTTGGAGCGACCTTAGTAGGAAGGAATTGCTGAAGCTCAAACTGTACAGCCTGATCTGTTACTGGTATTGTACGGTAAGAAAACACTAGAGTTTCAGCAGAGTACAGGCATCATACCGTACACATGTGTGGAGTGGACACCAGTTCCCTGCTGGAAGGCCGTAGTAAAAAATTGCGGACACAATTATTGGTACTATGGTACTTAAACCTTCCCTACTATAGCTTAATGGACAAATAAGAATCCCCTGCTTCAAGCATATTGCACAAGGCTGACTCTCATTCTGCTGCTTGTGAGTGAAGCTGGGTCTTGTGAAGCTAAAAGGTGACCATTACATGCCTTGACTTGAATGCTGCTTGCAAGTTAGAATATAACCCACTCACAAAAACTCCCCAATACCATACTACAAGCACACCGCCTAATATCGAGTCCCTTACGATGCTGTTTGTGATCTAAGCTGGGCTTGAAGCTCGGGTGTCCACATTCCTTGAATGCTGGGCCGTGTCGACTCGTGCCTCGACTTCAGCTTGACCACTTTTCGCCCCGTGGAGTTCCGCAGCCTTAAAGCCTGGATGAGAATGGTCTCTGCCTCCTGATTCTTCACATCCACCACCCTCTCCCTCCCGTTCACTGCGTGGGATCGCGTGGCACGGCGCGGGAGGAGGGAGGGAAGTGAGGTTGGAACATGGATCAGTGCGTCAACCCAGCATGGCAGATAGAGGAAAGTGGTGATGGATTAGTGTGACAAAGATATGCACATGTGCACACACACACACATGCACGCACGTGCACTCCCGCACACAAAAAAATGCACATTCACACACACACAGACACACATACTGATGCACCTACCTCATTGCGCATGCAGGATTGGGTGGTTGCCCTTGTAAGGCATTATTGAGGCTCTTTACTTGTAAGCCTATGCAAGTAGCCCCTACTGTATTTTGCAAGTGGCCCCTACCGTACTGGGCGTGCAGGTTTGGGTGCTTGCCCCGGTTCACAACGGCCTCTACTGCCAGCTGTGGATTGCCCTCTTTGAACTGCGGCAGGAACGATGCCACAAACTCCCTGGCATGGGGGGAAAACGGAAGGTACCAGAGCACACAAACGTAACTGCAAACGAAATCGTACGTATACATATACATGTATATGTATAGGTATGCGGAACACACGAGGAAAGGCACAAATAGACTCATTTGCAGGTGGGGTGAAGGGTTAAGGTGGGTTCTTCTGATAACTCTTGAAAACCACCTGCGACAAGCGGAAAACGCAAGATGCACATCACATGCTGTGGTTTGCCCTCTGGGTGACTGTGGCAGGAGGGACAAGTCCGATTGTTTTCTGTAACTTACTAGAAAATTATCGCCCTGCACCATACCGCCCTGCACCATACCGCCCTGCACCATACCGCCCTGCACCATACCGCCCTGCGCCGTACCGCCCTGCGCCATACCGCCCTGCACCATACCTCCCTGCACCATACCTCCCTGCACCATACCTCCCTGCACCCTACCTCCCTGCACCATACCTCCCTGCACCATACCGCCCTGCACCATACCGCCCTGCCTGCCCCATGTGTCGGGGCGGATACCAACAGCAAGACGAGATGATGGAGAAGATGCACGCAGGGTGACGTGGTGACCAGGCCCCAGGAAGTCAGGGTGTTTTACCCTGATTAGCCTGTTTTTCAGAGTGACTTTATTAGGTGACCCTGCTGAAATTGACTCTGACGCTTGTACCGCCCTGACACGCCTTGACATGAGTACAACCGTACCCTTGAATCCCAGGTGAGAGCATACTGTCAGCCCTGCCGTTTCCGAGTCTAAGACATTTCTACCCTGCTAAGGACTTCTTGAGAGTCGAGCTCTCTTGCTCTCGAATTTAAGCTAAGTCAATAAATCTCGCTAAGACACTGAAACTCTGGAAATGCTGCAAGTCATTGAAGCCCTCTCGGAATTCGCCCAAGTAACTGGAACACACTGGAGATTCAGCGAAGTCACTGAAACACTGGAAATTGGTTAAGTCACTGAAGCACTCTGGGGATTCGCCCAAGTTACTGGAACACACTGGACATTCAGCGAAGTCTGAAACATCTGAAAAATTGTCTAAGTCACTCAAGCACTCTGAAATTCGGCGAAGTCACTGAAACACACTAGAATTTTGGGGACACTCGCTCTTTGACGGAACAGGTTTTAATTTGGCGAAGCCCTTGCTCAGTGTGGGTTGCTCACGAAGAATACAGAGCTTTACAGTGTTAACAAAAGTTACCCTGCCAACTCCGACTATAAAGTACAAAACACCCTGCCATTTCATGAGTATGCCGCGCTTGGCACACTGCAGTGGCAGGGTGAAGGTAGGCCACGACTCGTTTCTGGCAGGGTGCCCAAAAACACATCGAGAGGCCTGGTGGTGACAGGGTAACTTAGTGGGCACAGAGCAAGTACCAGGGTAACTTGGTGTAACAGGTACACTGACGGTAACAGGGTAACTTAGTGTACAGGTGAACTGACGGTAACAGGTTAACTTGGTGTACAGGTGAACTGACGGTAACAGGGTAACTTGGCGTAACAGGTAAACTGACGGTAACAGGGTAACTTTGCCAGGGGTATGAGATGACAGGGTCAGCGGGAACAAGGTGCACGGGGTGCAAAGCAACGGTTGTTTTTGGCATAGCACAAGGGACGGTGAGGGGCCTCGCCGCGATAGTGAGGAGTCGCTGTCCCAGGGGGAGACTTGGCGTCGTATCGGGGGACTCACCAGCACTTCAGCTGGCGCTTAATGCGCCGCTGGCATCAGAGAAATGCTCCAACGAGGGGCCTTGCTGCTGAGGGACGCGTGTCAAGTCATCAGCGAAATGCCCCAGCGAGGGGCCTCGCCGGCGATGGATGTGTGTGCGTGCGCGGGTGTGCTTGCACGCACGCACGCACGCACGCGCATGGCTGTTAACTCGCGGCGCGTCGAAAGCTGCACGCGAGTGTGAACCGTCTCCGAATCGCAAGCACCGAGAAGGCTTTAGAGAGGGCTCAGGGAACTCCGATCGATCGAGAATTATGCTTGTCACAGCGCGCTCATGGCACTCAGGCGCTCAGAGCGGGCGTTTCAGAGCGTTCAGGGCGTTCAGGGCACCTCTGGGCACCTCAGGGCACCTATGAGGGCGGATCCAACGCAACGAGGGAGGGCTCAGAGCACTCTAACTCTAATCATTTAAGGAAATCGCAGATCCGAAGCAGCATCGTGATTTCGGACAACGGTTGGTTTCGAATGATGAAACGAACGGGAAAATGCTGCTTGTTTCGAATGAGCGGAACGAGATGCCGAAGACGCATCTCCCTCTCGTTTCCGAATCAAGCGTCGTCGAAAAATACCCACCTCGCGCCGCGGCTGCTGCCGGAGAAGTCGCAGTGGTTCACGACAAGTCGTCGGAGCTGCCACACTCCTCGCACCGCCATATCGTATAACGAGACGCTCTTAACGCGGAAAAGGTGCTCCAATGATTGAGCAGCAATGCTTGCGTAGGGGCGGAACGTCACAGCAGGCCAGGTCGCGCGAGAGCTGCATGCGAATAAGCTGAGACCGCGTCGCGAGGTGTGGAGGAAACGGGGAAGTGGGAAAGGAAGGCGTGGCAGGGGAGGGGCGCGTCAGTAAAAACGGCCTCGCAATCTCATGTAATCTCATACAAGTACTTGTGTTTTCTAACAGTCGTGTTTCCTCTCAATATGGATACATGCATAATCATGTCTTAAATATAAAAAGACTTTGTCCATTTTATCTTAACATTCTTGGTAGAAATGTTAGCATCAGCAAACAGAAGAACGCTCTCGCTTCTATTAATAGAATTTGAAACAGCTTTATGGAAACGTTGATTTGTGAGGGATCGCACGAAGCCATGCTCTTTGTACAGAATTACCATGCCTTGAGTGTTCTCACACGGTTCAACTTTTCCACTTGTCTACCAGTCTGGAGATGGCTCCTCACGACATGCAGTTATTGAAGCTTGCCTAGGTATAGTATCCTAATATGTACATGGCAGCCAAACCACAGGTGCTTACAACATAGAATTGCATCATAGTGATTTTCTCAGCTGTGGATGCTTGGTGAATTTGTGAAGCCGCGATGCGATCAGCTCCTCAACCGCTATCCTCCTGACCGTATGAAAGTCAATGTCCGCGTACCGGCCCCTGCAAGAGACAGCATGGGAGAACCAGCAGCAGCGGACGAATACAGGCGAAAGATGTAACCACTCAAGAAGACGAATGTAGAATTGATGTGAATTGGCACTTTGTGGCTTGACAGCGAGTTTGGTGCACGAGAAGCAGTGAATGAACCCTTTCAGTCGACTCACCAGAAGTGGTGCTTGGACCAATCAGAAGCCGGAAAGGCTGGGCTGGTTAGGCCGTGGAGGATGCGGGCAACGGCTCGCGCGTTGACAGGTGGCGCATCGGGATTGGCTTGCTGGCAGCGCAGAAACACCTGGATTGGAGGAAAGAGAGGGACAGGTGAAAGATCAGTGTGGGATTGTTGGGAGTATGGATGTGTGCACGAGTGTGAGCGTGAAGGTGAGCATGCAAGTGTGTGGAGGTGCATTTGAACAATTCATAGTATAACACATACCTTCATGTTCCACTCTACATACCTCCCACCTTATGTCACTCACTGTTACCTTTATTTCTCACTCACCTTGACCTATATTTTCCACCCACCTTGATGTCACTGCGGAGGAATTGACTGATGAGAGGCGAAGGCCAAACGAAGCCGGTCACAAGCCCAATGGTGCATGCACAGGCAGGGAGCAATAGAAGAGGCTTGGAGACGTGTTTTACAGAGCTGAAACGAAGGCAGCAGAGCACGCGATGCAGTCTTATGAACGTGTGATGTGCGTGTATGTGTCTACGAATGAAGCGGGTCACATGCCCAATGGTGCATGCACAGCCGGGGAGAAGGAGAACAGGTATGGAGGCGTGTGGAGAATGAGAACAGGTATGGAGACGTATTTTACAGGGTCGAAAAGAAGGCTGCCGCACATGTGGATGCATGTACAAGTGATGTGTGTGTGCATGCATGTGCCTACGCGTGCATGTGTGAACGCATGCATGCATGACAACCATTCACATGCGTGTAGTTATTGTTCGCATGCTCCTGCATGCGCGCGAGTTTTTTTGCGCATCTATGTGTGCATGCAAGCATGCAGTATCATTTATATACATGCGACCATCACCCTCACCTGGCAGTGGTGACAGGTGCAGGAGCAGCGAGCAGCGGCGGCACGGACCCATCTGGAGAGTCAAAGTAAGCGGCGATGCAGCGCTGCAGGAGGGCTGTCTGCCTGCCTCTTGAACACGTGCGTGCGCGCGTGTGTGTGCGTGACAACAATTCAAATGTGTCTGAGGCAATCTCACCTGGCAGTGGTGACAGAAGCAGGAGCAGCAAGCAGCGGCGGCACGGAGCCATCTGGGGAGTCAAAGTAAGCCACGATGCAGCGCTGCAGGAGGGCTGTCTGCCTGTCTCCTGCTCGCGCGTGTGTGTGTGACAACCATTCATTCAGACGTGTCTGGGACCATAAGCCTTACCTGGCAGCGTTGACAGGCGCAGGAGCAGCGAGCAGAGGCGGCACGGAGCCATCTGGGGAGTCAAAGTAGGCGGCGATGCAGCGCTGCAGGAGGGCAGTCTGCCTGCCCGCCTGCGACCTTCTGCTCTCCACTTCAGCTGCCTCTTGTGCTGCTGCTGGTGCTGCTGCTGGTGCTGCTGGTGGTGTTGCTGGTTGTGCTGCTGGTTGTGCCGCTGGTTGTGCTGCTGCTGGTGCTGGTGGTGCTGCTGGTTGTGTTACTGGTTGTGCTGCTGGGAGCTGGGCTGCTGCGACTGCTACAGTGTACATAGCATCAAGCTTGCCCACCTGATGGCGGAGGAAGGGGGTACACACAGTTGCTTATAAAGACTCGTCAGAAGTCACCTCCTTGCATGCACACACATACACGCACACACATGATGCTGTGACTGCCACAGAGAGCGCATGGCATGAAGCTGTGCAAACCAGGTGGGGGGTGTGTTGGTGCGTGTCTTGACTCAGAAATCTCAAAGCTGGACGTAGGCTGCTGCAGTGGCCACATCGCCAAGTCAGTGGCGATTTGCCATAGTGGAGTTACTTTTGAGAATTCTCACAAGTGCCTGGCACTCCCAGGTCCTCACTCAAAGTATCCTACTTCACGTGGTAACGTAACATGCGTTTGTATCACTGCTGACCTTTTGACAGCCGCCAGTCGGTGACAGATGGATGCAGTTAGAGAGCAGAGGCTCTTGGGGGCGCGATAGAGGAGTTGCTGTGAACCAGCTCACACTGCTTTAAACAGGACTAGCTCACGTTGGCAGCCTAACATGCGAGCGACTCACCGTTGATCGCTCAACAGCCGCCAGTCGGTGGCAGATGGATGCAGCTAGAGAGGAGAGACTCTTGGGGCGAGACATGAGCTGCACGCACAAGGAAGGTTCCAGGAACTCGCACACGATCTCCCCACACCTCTGCTTGGGATAAGGGGAGAGAGGAAGAATCGAGGGGAGAAGGCGAAGGTGAAAGAGGAGAGGGAGAAAATAAGAAGAATCAAATCGATTTGTCACCTCATATAATTGGTGATGTTTCAACCACCCACCCTCTTACCTGTCTACCTTAGGCTACCCCCAACCCATGACATACCTGCAGGTCTCTCAACGCAGCAAGTAGCATGTTGAGCGGCATGACTATGAATCGATTTTATAACCAGATTTATCCGTCAGAAAATTGAAGATGCTTAACCTACTACTTGTGTACCTTAGCGGGATCGATCCCCCACCCATGGCATACCTGCAGGTCTCTCAACGCAGAAAGCAGCATGGGCAGCGGCATGCGCGCATGATTGGCCAGCGGTGCCAGCTGGATGGTGTACCGCCCATTGCGGGGGGTGGGGTTAGTCCTGAGGGAAGGCAGGGGGAAGGCAGGGGGGAGGCAGGGGGAAGGCAGGGGGAAGGCAGAGTGCGGAGACCAGAGGAGAACATGGGGGCCTGAACAGCAGCAGTGCCAGTGGCAGAGCCAGTGGCAGTGGCGTGGGCAGCAGCATGCATACGTGATTGGCCAGCGGTACCAGCTGGATGGTGTACCGCCCGTTGCGAGGGTTTGGGTTGGTCCTGAGGGAAGGCGGAGGGAAGGGAGGGCAGAAAAGAGAGGTGAATATCAAGGCATGGGTAACGGCAGTGGTATAGGCAGATGCCGTGCACAAGAGAATGCCGGAGGGTTTACCGTCCATTGTGGGGGCTTGGGTTGGTCCTGAGGGAAGGCAGAGGGGGAGTGGGGCCGAAAGGGAGAACAACCCTTGGCATGATGGTGGAAGCAAGGTGGGTAGCCCAACGATGGCCCTGGAAGGCAGGCATAAGGGGGCGATGGGAGGTGAGTGTGAGCGGAGGGGGAAGACGGGAGGTGAATGCTACGGGAGAAAGGATCATGCTGAATGTAAAAGGAGGGGGGAAAGGGGTGGTGGAATGGGCGGTGGCATGTGTGGTGGCACGGGCAGCAGTTCCAGGCCCAACAAGAAGGATGGTTAGGAAAGGGAGAGGACTGGTGTAGATGGCACAGCGGGTGCTCGGGACAACGCGATCAAGAAAGGCAACCACTGAATGACCTGACCTGATTGGGTCGAGCCCACTACAGGAGCGACCCGACCCGGCCAACGTTACAGGGCGAACGGTGTGCCATGTACAGGTTGGGTTACAGATTGATGGTGCAGGTGGGCTTTTGAGGCGCCTCAAAACAGGGCGAACATGCGCCCTGTACTAAGATGGATGGTGCAGGTGGGGTGATGCAAGAGGATGGTGCAGGTGGGGTGATGCAAGAGGATGGTGCAGGTGGGGTGATGCAAGAGGATGGTGCAGGTGGGGTGATGCAAGAGGATGGTGCAAGCTGGCTTACGCGAGAATGGCCTTCACAAGAGGAACCTTTTTGGAAAGTACCTCCACTGGGGTCTGCCAGGTGAACAGGAGGGAGATGGGGATCCGGCAAACGGGTTTATTGAACACGAGGCATTAAGGGAATTGAGCACCAGTGGACTAGAGCAGTGGGGATCAGTGGTAGTGGTGAAATCACTTTTGATTATTGTCAAAAGTAGTAGTGGTATTGTTGAGCATTAAGGATCAGGCAATGAAGAGTACAGGGCGAACGGTTTCGAAGAGCGGAAAGCAGGCAGCAACCAGACGATTCTTTTGAAGTCTCAAAACTACACGTACCATGCGCATGAACTTAAAAGAAATACAAGCTGTACTTGATGACATGCGAGGAGGCAGGCAGAAAGAAGCGGATGGGTGTTGAGACGCTTCGGAATGTACAATCAATAGTTTGTGGAAGGAGAGGAGCCACAATAAAGCAGGGGAGTTTCTAATTATCAATTCTAGAAACCGAAGAAGCTATACGGGCCTTACAAACTAAGAGAAGGCAGGAAGAAGAAGAATCATATGTTAGAGTTGACATGTCTCAGAACCAGCACCCGTACCTTATGGAAGGAGAGCAGGCAGGAAGCCGGTGCCTCAGGCATCATTCGCAGGTAAGCAGCGGCAGCAGGGGGTGTGGGTGATGAAAGTGGTGCTAATGATGACAATGGTTCTGGTGGTAGCGATGATGCTGGTGTGGCTGGTGGTGATGATGGCGATGGTGTTAAGGGTGGAAGTTTTGAATCCGAAGCAAGAGATGCTGATGGTGCTGGTGACTCGCAGAACACGAGAATGGTTTCCATGACCTGATGGGAAGGGGGAGAAGCAAGCGAAAAAGCAGAGGTAAAAGATGCAGGGTGTGGGAGGGGGAGGAGGAGGAAGGAAGGGGAAACCATGTTTCGGGTTGCTGAAAAAGAAATCTCAATTCACACGGAGTTGGATAGAAGACAGAGTTGTGAGCCACCAACTGCACCTCCTCTGCCACAAGTAAAAAGCTTCTGAGGCGCCTCAAAAGGCAACCTCTGTCATGAGGAAAAAACTCAAACTTGATGGAGAGTTTGTGACGTTTCAGTATTGTGAGCAGATCAGACTTTTTCCAATGAATGACCGCTTGCACTGCGGGCGGGCTGGCTGCAACCATGAGGGCTGCCTCACTCCATTCCACCTCTGGCTATATCCCAGTCTGAAAAAAGACTGATATTGTGCCAGAGGTGGAGCTGCCACTGCCACTGCCACTCGGCTTTGCTGTAAGTAACTCCTGCTCTCCCAGTCAGTCTAACAGCGGAAGCTGCTGAATGCTCTCAGCCTCCATCCCCCACCCCTGTATTCAACCCCCATCTCTCCCTTCTTCCTTCCCTCACCTCAGGGCGAATGTCAAGGGACTGAGCCGTTTTCTCCTTGGGGATGGTTCGGAACACAGGAATCTGCACTGCTGCTTCAGGTGATCCTTCAGGTAATTCTTCAAGTGCTACAGGCAGTTGGTAGTTGCCAAAGACGAGAGAGAGGAAGGCTGCTACAGTGCTTTCCGATACTCCGTCCCTTCAGGTGGGGGAAAACAGGGTTAGATGGGGGAATATGGGGTGAGATGGGGGAATATGGGGTGAGATGGGGGAATATGGGGTGAGATGGGGGAATATGGGGTGAGATGGGGGAATGTGGGGTGAGATGGGGGAATATGGGGTGAGATGCGGGAATATGGGGTGAAATGGGGGAATATGGGGTGAGATGGGGGAATATGGGGTGAAATGGGGGAATATGGGGTGAGATGGGGGAATATGGGGTGAGATGGGGGAATATGGGGTGAGATGGGGGAATATGGGGTGAGATGGGGGAATATGGGGTGAGATGGGGGAATATGGGGTGAAATGGGGGAATATGGGGTGAGATGGGGGAATATGGGGTGAGACGGGGGAATATGGGGTGAGATGGGGGAATATGGGGTGAGATGGGGGAATATGGGGTGAAATGGGGGAATATGGGGTGAAATGGGGGAATATGGGGTGAGATGGGGGAATATGGGGTGAGATGGGGGAATATGGGGTGAGATGGGGGAATATGGGGTGAGATGGGGGAATATGGGGTGAGATGGGGGAATATGGGGTGAGATGGGGGAATATGGGGTGAGATGGGGGAATATGGGGTGAAATGGGGGAATATGGGGTGAGATGGGGGAATATGGGGTGAGATGGGGGAATATGGGGTGAGATGGGGGAATATGGGGTGAGATGGGGGAATATGGGGTGTGATGGGGGAATATGGGGTGAAATGGGGGAAGATGGGGTGGGATGGGGAATACGGGGTGGGATGGGGGAATATGGGGTGAGATGGGGGAATATGGGGTGAAATGGGGGAAGATGGGGTGAGACGGGGAATATGAGGGTGAGACGGGGAATATGAGGGTGAGACGGGGAATATGAGGGTGAGACGGGAGAACATGGGCTGAGATGGGAGAACATGGGGTGAGATGGGGGAGCATGGGGGTGAGATAGGGTGGCATGGGCAAAAGTGGGTTCTCATGTTGACATAGAAGGTGTTTGTAAGCAGGCCAGTCCAGTCAGGTACTAACGAGTGTCCAGTTAGAGAGTTTACTATGAGAAAGAGACATGCCACCACAATATGAGGAGTGTCATAGTGGTGCTCCTGAACGTTGAGAAATAGCGTCAGGTGTGTCGTTGACGAAAAGTGACACAAACGAGCCAAGCACTGACTGAGAACGAGTGTGCCACAAACGCTTGTGCCATTAACGAGTCCGTCACTAACGAGTGTGCAAGGCTGCGCAGGCGAAGGTAGCAGGGGCGGTCCACAAAGAGGTGGCAGAAGGCGGGCTGCCCGTTGCGCCCCGCCCGGCCTATCTCCTGTGAAGGTGGAGCGTGGAGGGGAGTGACGTTGGTGGGGAGAGACGAGAGAAAAGAGAAGAGCGCATGCGAAGGTAGCAGCGGCAGTCCGCAAAGAGATGGCAGACGTGGGAGATTGGAGGGGAGAGACAGGAGAGAGAAGTGAGATGAGCATGGGCGGAGGTGGAGAGGGGTGACTCTTGCACCGCGCACAGCCTATCATCCCTCCTGTGTGAGAAAAGAGTGGAGAGAGGGTTGGACAAAAGGTGGTGGAATTGCGGGACTAAACAATTCTACATTCCAATTATCTCATACATTCATAGTTCATCCCATGATCCTGTCATCCAACCCTCATCACTAACGTCCACAAAACACTGCACCGCAACGCACCGCACTATACCGCATCATATTACATCACACCGCATCATACCTGCACGTATTGTTCTGGGCTGCGGGGAATGGAGTAATGCACAACCTGATTGGGGGGATCGGAAGGGAGAAAAGTGGCTTCTGAGGTGCCTCAAAAAGTAGTGGTGCAAGGGAAGCACTGGGAGAATACGGGAGTCTGGAAACACAGGGCAATAACACTAACGAACCGAGCCAAAACGAAGGAACAATGCTGCAGCCGAAGTGCGCCTACCTAGAGACAAGAGGAAATGTATGGGAGAAAAGAGTGGAGGGAAAATGTATGGCAAGCAAACCAGTATTTCCCCGCCTTAAAAAATCACATAATCTCACCTATATATATAGCATATGCATGAAACCATAGTCCTCCATAAGCAACCTCACTCACTCATCTATGAATGAGATTCCCCATCCAAATTTATAGTCACATCCATACAACCCCATCTGCACTCAGGTATTAATATGAGCCCTGTCCAAGCCCATGCCAAACGCCACACCAGTGTAGCGACAGCTTCGCCCACATGCATAAACCCATGCACATAGCTCCATCCCATCCATAAGCCACTCCACTCACCGCTCCAACATCAGCCTTATCCAGGCCCATGCCAAACGCCAGTGTCGCCACAACCTGCAGCACAGAGGCAATGAGAACGAGTTTGGCTTGGCAAGTGGTTACACAAGTGGTGTGAATGATGCTCAAATGGCACAGCCTGCAGATTGGATTTTTGAGTCTGCTAAGTGTTGCCACAACCTGCAGAACACCACAGAATGCAACTGGATAGTACACGCAGCAGAGGCAGCAGAGGCAGCAGCGCACGCACCACTCGTAGCTTGTTGGCTGTGAAGCGCTGCAGGATGCGTGTCCTCTCGCCTGCTTGCAACCCACCGTGGTAGCTCTGGAGGTAGGTGGCATGGGAAGGGAAGGACGAGAAGAGAGGAGAAGAGAGGAGAAGAGAATAGAGGAGAGGAGAAGAGACGAGAAGATGACAGAGCAGAGAGAACATGAGACATATGAATGAAGCGACGTAAGCACCAGAGCAAGGAGGAGGTTGGGGATTGGGGCAACATAGTGAAAAGCAGGCGGAATCTGGGAGCTTGCAGAACTCATCGGCAGGTGGAGCTGAGCTTTACTGGAACCCGTTTTCCATTCTGAGTTTTACACTGAGTTTTACACTCTCGCTAAAGTCACTGGAGCTGCTGGGCAATCATGAATGCAAACCTCATCTGCATGTCCTCCTCTCACTCGACTCACCCTAGCTGCGATTTAGAGACACATTTGAGAGGTCTCAAACGTGACCCTCTTACCACCCAACTCACCCGAGCTGCGATCCGGTTGTCTCGAAGAATGCGTGCCACGTCATCAGCCTCCCACTGGCAGGGGAGGGGAGAGAAGAGAGGGAAACCGATTAAGATTCGACTGAGAGAGTTACAGGGGCAAGCAAAGACACGGCGGCTCTTGATTTGGCTCAAGAGATGGCAATGGAAAGGAGAGGGAAACAACATGTTGTGAGCGGGTCTCCAGAGAATTTCATTTCATGCCACTACTGTCAGCATGTGCAACTGGAACGAACAGACACTGGCTCCCTAGACCTGGGGAGGTATCAGGTCGTGACACAAGTCAGCCAGAATGCCGGGCATTCTGGCACTACACACGGTGATTGTCTACTGCTCTGCTCTGCCCTTTGGATCCACACAGTCAACCACGTGGGAAGAACAGCTTCATCCACTAACGCCAACTGCCTGCTCTACCCTGCTGCTGCCCCGTTAACCTGCATAGACCCCTCACATCACAGCGGCTCCCACCTGGAAGGAGCACCCACCTGGAAGGAGCAGTAGACGATGATGCTGCGGGCAGAAGAGAAGGGAGGAGCCGCAAGAAGATCCACCAGTGCCCGCTGCCTGCTCTGCCCTGCTGCTGCAGCCCCGCCCCCCCACTTGTTCTCTCCCACCACATCAGCAGGCCCTGAACCAGTCCCAGGCACAAGTCCTTTGGCCCCGGTTATTGACACTGAGAGGTGCAGGTTCGGCCGCACCACTCCGCGCCGAATTACACCGCCCGGCGGGATACCCAGCGCTGCGATGAGCGATGACGTGGCGAGGAGCGTGGCGGTGGCAGTGATGGCGAGAATGCAAGGCCTGCGGGGAATGTTACTACTGTTAGTGTCGTCACCACCAGGTAGACAATCATTGGTACCCTCCGCATCAGAAGCAGCAGCAGCAACAGCAGCAGCACCACCACCACCATCTGCAAAAGAGGGATCAGCAGAAGAAGCCTTGGTGTCTGATGCTTCTTCCGCTGCTGCTGCTGCAGCCTTCCTTTCTTCAGGTGCTGCTGCCTGCCTCTCCAGTAGACCGCTGGAGAGCAGGATGGAGGAGAGGCGCAGATAGGCCGAGCGGAAGTTGTGCGACCTGCCGTGTGGGGACGAGAGATTTGGAGAGGGACAAAGAAGCGTGGGATTGGCGGCATTGACTGAGAGTTGAAGAGAGGATAAGAGAGGTGAGGAGAGGTAAAGAGGGGTGTTGAAAGGTGAAGAGAGGAAGGAGAGGACGGCCACCAAAGACCCTGAAGGGACAGCTCGTTACAGACATCCCCCTACCAATCAGCGCACATCACAATGTATGTACCCATTCGCCCCTCCTTCCCACTCTTAAAAATGCAGTGGGTCTTGTCGAAGAAATTTGTCACTGAGAGTTAGAGATTGGCCTTTGAAATGACTTTTGAGTCAACTCAAAAGGTAGAGATAGGCTTTTAAAAATTTCTTGAAAACATGATCACGACTCAGCTCTTCCAGGGTGACTGGAACCTAGAAAACCCAGCCCGCATGCATGCACCCATTCTCACCACTCTGAAATGCAGTGCGCCTCATCGAACACCACGAGAGACACGCCCTGGGGCAGGCTGGAGAGCAGGCGGAGGAAGGAGGGCGCAGCCAGGCGCTCAGGCGACACAAACAGCACCTTCAGCTCTTCTCCTCTCAGCCTCTCTATCACTGCACCGCTCTCACCGGGTGACTGTGAGACAGGGGGAGGCAGGGGGGTGACAGGGGTATGAGTGGGTTGGCAAGGGGGTTGGAGAGCAGAGGCAGGACGGACGGTGCTGTCACGTGTGAAGATTGTGAATTGAACAAGTAATTAGATTAGAGGAACAACCTAGCATACATAGTTGGAAGGGAAGGTTGGAAGGGAAGGATGAAAGTGACCATAGGTTGGGTTGACCTCACTTGGGGAAGTGAGGGAACCATAGGTCAAGTGGGTTGGGTTGCCCACACTTTGTAGAAGTGAGGCAACCCTAGGCCCACTTGGCTTGGGGTAACCTCAATTGTGGGAAGTGAGGTACCCACAAGTCAAGAGGGTTGCATTTGGGGGCTCCACCACAATTGGGTGGATTGGCACCCCAAAGTGCAAGACTACACCCAAAGTTGGGTGTAGTCCCAACCCAACTGTACACCACAATTGGTGTACAGTCACATGTGTTGGCATGCTACACAATATATATTTTAACACAACCCCTTAGCATGCTAACACAAGAAGAGAACAACCCCTGAATCAAGGGGCGCCCGGGCGAGCAAGGCCAATGAGGCGGAGGAAGGCAGAGTGCGCGGGGCGAAGGAGGGCCTTAGTGAAGATGTCGGCCAAGTTGGCCTCGGTTGCAATCTTGCGAACGGCAATGAGGCCCTTCTGGACGAGCTCGCGAACGAAGAAGTAGCGGAGTTCGATGTGCTTGGAGCGGGCGTGATAGACGGGGTCCTGAGTGAGATGGATGGTGCTGGCGTTGTCGCACCAGAAAGTGGGGCACGTCTGGGGGGCGCCAAGCTCCGCAAGAAGGAAGCAGAGCCAGCGCGACTCCTGGGCGGCCATGGTGCCAGCGTAGAGCTCGGCTTCGCAGGTGGAGAGAGAGATGGCGGAGGAGCGGGTGGAGCGCCAGCTGATGAGGCCGCTGCCAAGGGTGAAGCCGTAGCCCTGGGAGGAGCGGCGGTCCGGCTGCGTGTCAGCCCATGAGGAGTCACTGAAGCTCGAGAGAAGGGGACGGGAAGGGCCGCCGAGGGTGAGGGCAAGGTCCCTGGTCCCGCGAAGGTAGCGGAGGACCCGCTTGGCAGCTTTCCAGTGCTCCTCAGAGTGACGACCGGTGCCGACAAAGCGAGCGAGCACGCTGATGGGGTAGGCGAGGTCGGGGCGGGTGCACATCATTGCGTACATCAAGGACCCAACGAGCTCGGCATAGGGGTGGGGGGAGGAGGTGGGGGAGGTGGGTGGAGCGAGTTGGTGACCGAAGGGGAGCGGGGTGGAAACAGGCTTGGCTTGCGCCATGTCGAACTTCTCCAAGACCTGGCCGATGTAATGGGACTGGGAGAGGGTGATTGTGCGAGCAGGGCGGTTGCGCGTGATGGTCATGCCGAGGTAGTGAGTGAGGGCGCCAAGGTCTTTGCACTTGAGCCGCTGCTGCAGGGACAGCTTCACCTGCCCCATGTCGGCCTTGGTGTCAGAGAGCAGGATCATGTCGTCGACATATACCAGAATGAAGAAGCGACGGGGGGAGGAGCGGATGAAGAGGCTGGCGTCGGAGTGGGAAGCAGAGAAGCCGAGGGACCCCAAGGTGGCAGCCAGCTTCGCATGCCACTCACGCGGTGCCTGCTTCAAGCCGTAGACGGGGCGACGCAGCTGCCAGACAGTGTTCTCAGGAAAGGCTGCGTGGAACCCGGGGGGTCGCCGGAGGAAAATGCGCTCATGCAGGTCGCCCTGCAGGAACGCATTGGAGACGTCCATGGAGTCGATTTCCATGTCGTCACGTGCACCAATGTCCATGGCGGCGCGAAGGGTGGGTGGTTTGGCGGTGGGGGCGTAGGTGAACCAGTAGTCCTCAGCCCAAGTCTGCGTGAACCCCTTGGCGCAGTAGCGGGCCTTGTACACTGGTTCCTCGCCCGGCAGCTGCTTCACCCGAAAGACCCATTTGCCGTCAACGAGATTAGCGCCAGCAGGGAGGGGGACATCGACAAAGGAGTCGTTGCGAATGAAAGCCTCACACTCCAGGAAGATCGCTGCTATCCATTTATCCGCATCAGGGCAGGTGATGGCTTCCTGGAAGGTGGAGGGAGTGAAGATGGTGGGGGTAGTAGTGGCGCCAAGGACAGGAAAGCCCAGGAAGTCAAGGTAGAGGGCGGCAAGGAATGGAGTGTGCTCCCGAATGTTAAGAAACTCCTCATGGGAGTCCTCAAGGAGCTGAATGGAGGCAGGAGGAGGAGCCCCAAGGATTTTGTCCACAGAGCGGGTATGGATGTAAGGGAGGAGGAAGGGGGAGGAACGGGAAGTGGCACGACGCCGCTGCTGCTGCTGGTGCTGCGGAAGCTGCTGCCCTTGTTGCTGCGGCTGCGGCTGACCGTGCTGGTGCTGCGGCTGCTGAGGCTGCTGAGGCTGCTGCTGCTGCTGCTGCTGCTGTCCCGGCTGCCGCTGCTGCTGCTGCTGCTGGCCCGGCTGCTGCTGCTGCTGCTGGCCCGGCTGCTGCTGCTGCTGCTGCCCCGGCTGCTGTCCCGGTTGCTGCTGCTGCTGCTGTTGCTGCTGCTGCTGCTCCGGCTGCTGGAAGGAGGGAGAGGGAGAGGAGGAGGGAGGGGGGGGAGGGGGTGCGGCCGAGTGAGCGGGGGAAGCGGGTGCGGCAGGGTCGTAGACATCGGCGGAGGAGGAGGGCGGGAGCGGAGCTGCGGCGGGTGGGAGGAGAGGGGCTGGAGGGAGAAGGGGCGGGAGGACGGTGTCGGTCCAAGCAAGGGGACGAGTGGGAGGAGGGAGAGGATCAGGGGGAGGAGTGGAGTAATAGGGGACGGATTCGTCGAAGACGACGTCGCCGCTGCGGATGAGGCGATTGGTGGGAGGGTGGAGGAAGAGGTAGCCTGGGGAGTCGCGATTGTGCCCAAGGTAAACGCATTCCAGGGCGCGAGGAGCAAGCTTGCCAGCGGCGCGGGAGCGGTCGGCGGGTGGGATGAGAACGAAGGCCTTGCAGCCCCAAACGCGAAGGCCGGCAGCGTCGGGTTTGGCGTTGGACCAAAGCTCTGTAGGGGAGGAGGAAGGATGCTGAGGGTGGGAGCGGAGATTAAGGAGAAGAGCGGCGTGGAGGAGGGCATAGCTCCAGAGGGAAGGAGGGGTGGAGGCATGAGCAATGAGACAGCGAGCTATCTTGGTGATCTCACGAATGCGGCTCTCAGCAATGCCGTTCTGCTGAGGGGAGTGGGGAAGGGTGGAGGTCTGTTGGATGCCGTAGGTGTTGCAGTATGTGGCAAGGGTGTTATTGATGAACTCACCCCCACCGTCAGAGTGAAGGCGGCCGATGGGGCGTTTGAAGTGATTGCGGCACTGTTCGGCCCAGTTGATGACCACTGCCGGCACCTGGTCTTTCGTGTGAAGGAAGAAGGTGGTGGAGTACCGGCTGTGGTCGTCAACGAGGACGAGCATGTACCGATGCCCCTGGCGGGAGCGGATGGGATAGGGGCCCCAGAGGTCCATGTGCACAAGGTCAATGGGGGCGGCGGCGAAGGTGGGATGACTGTGGTGGGGGGACTGTTTGAGCTTGCCGTGAATGCATGAAGGGCATGGGGGAGAGGGGGAGGAGGGGAGGGGAGGTAAAACAGGAGGAAGGCTGCGGAGGAGGCGAGAGGTGACTGTGGTGCGAAGGGCGGTGAAGTTGGGATGGCCGAGTCTGTGGTGTAAGAGGACAGCAGGGTGGGAGAGGGTAGTGGAGGAGGAGGGAGATGGGGTGATGGAAGGAACGGGAGGGGAGGAGGAGGATGGTGGGGAGGGAGAAGAGGATACTTGAGGGGGAGGGGAAGGGGGAAGTAAAGGAGGAGGAGGTGGACCGGTGGAAGCATCGGAACGAGTGGTGACGTGGCAGAAGGATGGGCGAGGCGTGCGGAGTGTGTAGAGGCGAGTGCGGGGGCAAAGCGGAATGCGGAGAAGGAAGCGACCGGAGGAGGTTTGGTAGAGATCACAGTAATTGGCATAACCGGGGTAAATGGCAGTGATACCAACACCTTGGAGCTCACGGTGGGAGAGGAGGTTGTTGCGGAGAGTGGGGATGTGGAGACCTGTGACCTTACCGGAGGGGAAGGCAGTGCAAGGGAGGGTGGAGAGGTGAGTGCATGGAATGGAAAAGCTGGAATCAGCCCCATGAACCTGAGTGGGAAGTGGTAGTGGGGTGAGAGTGCCAGCGTCTTTCAGTGCGGTTTCAGTGGCTCCACTGTCAAGGACAAAGTCCAGGGTGGGAGAAGAGGGAGGAGGGGGTGGGACGGGGTACTGAAACGAAGTCTCATTGATAGCAGAGGGATACATGGCAGCGACGGACGGTGCAACACTGATATTACCAAGGAAACTACCAGAAGTGTCAGGAACACTGGGGGGGGCAGAGGGGAGGGAACCCCAGGGGGGAGGAGGAGGAAGGGAGGTATGAGCGGCCATGGCCGCTGTGCCGAAGGTGAGTGGCTGCTGCTGCCAGGGTGGGGGAAGGAACTGCTGCTGCTGCTGCGGCGGTGGCTGGAAGAACTGCGGCGGCGGCGGCTGCTGGGGCTGGAGAAACTGCGGCTGCTGCTGCTGCTGGTGGAAGTACAGGTGCTGCTGCTGCTGGTGCTGCTGAAACTGCTGCAGCTGTGAGGGTGGGGAGGGGGTAACCATGCGGAGGTGAGCAGGAAGGAAAGAGGGGAGGGTTTGAATATCCACTAAGGAGGGGCGAGGTGTGACCGAGTTCCAGCGAGGAGGGGTGCCAGTGTTGCCGCGATCAAACCAGGCGTCGTCGAGTGCCTTAAAGCACGTGGTGGGGGGATGGTTGGTCTGGCCGCAAGGGGTGCCTGCATGGGGACCATGGCGACGCACATATGTGCATGGGGGGAGAGTGCCAGGGCGTCCGCCTCGAGTCACAGCACCTCCAGCAGGGGCGCTGCCAGCACCACCACCACGGCCACCACGGCCACCACGGCCACCACTACCACCACCGCCACCACCACGGCCTCCACCACCACCACCGCCACCCGCTCCACGGCCTCCGCCGCCGCCGCTGCGACCACCCTGGTTGCGCGGCTGCGTAGCGTTGAGGGAGGTGGAGGAGGAGGACTGAGGGGTGGTAAGGTTGACAACGGGGGTGCGGAGCTTGACCTCCGTGTCAATGATCCACTGGACCACGTCGTCGAGGCCGGCCATGGGGTTGGCCTCAGTGAAGGCATGGAGGCGGGACTCGTAGTCCGGGGTGAGGTTGTAGAGGAGGCGGTGGATTTGCAGGGGCTCGGGGAGGGCAGCTTGGCGTGCCGCAAGGCGATCAGCGACCTCCTGCATGCGCCCCACGTAGTCAACTGCGCCATCACAAGTGGCGAGGGTGATGGAGAAGTACTCCTGGAACAGGGCGCCGACAGAGCTGATGTCGCGACGCTCGAACATGGCCTGGAGCTCGGCCCAGATGAGGGAGGCGCGCATCTCGCGAGCTTGGAAACGGCGCATGAGGGTATTAGGGAGTGCGCTGAGGAGGATGGTGCAGGCGCGGTTGTCAGCAGTGGCCCATGCGATGCTCCGAGGGAGGTAGTCCGCCATGGCCGTATTGTACTCATCAAGGAGCGCCAGGCGATTGGCGCGTTCCGCTACCGCGAAGTCGTGGTTATGTACCGCAACCTCATGCTCCGCCTTGCGGATGAGGTATTCGCGGCGATCGTGGAGAAATGCGGCATCGGCGGCATCTTGGAGCGCTGGGGTAGTGGCGATCTCCAAGGTGGGTTCAGGAGGAGGAGGACCAGGAGGAATGGGGGGTGGAGGGGGTTCGCCGGGGTGATTGGGTGCCGTGGGCTGGAGGGCTTGCGGGCGGCGGAGGAGGACGTCAAGGACGCAGTAGGGTCCGACGAATGCATCTTGGAGAACACGGCGGATGCTCCCGACGAAGGAATGCCAGTTGATCGCCGAGCGGTCCGCGGCAAGCTGAAGCTTGTCGACGGAGGAGGCGTCAATGGGAGGGGGGAGAGGGGGAGGAGTGGTAGCCATGAGGGGCGACGGCGGGTGGACCCGCGGCGGCCTCGAGGTGGACGGCGGCGGGTGGACCCGCGGCGGTCAAGTGGGAGGGCGACGGCGGGTGGACCCGCGGCAGCCGAGAGGGAGGAGGGGGGGGGGGGGGGGGGGGGGGGAGGGGGGGGGGTGCTGCTGCGAGGAGTGGAGTTCTTCTCCGGCTGCTGCTGCTGCTGCCGCTGCTGCCGCTGCTGGCGCTGCTGCCGCTGCTGCCGCTGCTGCCGCTGCTGCCGCTGCTGGCGCTGCTGCCGCTGCTGCCGCTGCTGCCGCTGCTGCCGCTGCTGCTGCTGCTGAGAGGGAGGAGGGGGGGGGGGGAGGGGAGGAGGGGGAGGAAGATGGTGGATGCAGCTGCTGCCGCTGCTGTCGCTGCTCCTGATGCTGCCGCTGTTGCTGCTGTGGCTGCTGAGCTGTCCCGGCTGCTGCTGCGTGGGGGGAGAGGAGGAGGAAAGGGGGAGGGGGAGGGAGAACGCAGGTGTAGCTGTGGGCGAAGCTGTTGCTGCCAATGACGCTGCTGCTGCGGGATGAGGCGGCTGCTACGAGGAACGTGCGGCGGCGGGATGCGCGGGTGGCGACGAGGGAATCGTGGCGGCGGAATGAGCGAGCGGCGACGAGGAGGGCGCGGCGGAGGGATGCGCGGGCGGCGACGGGGAAGGCGCGGCGGTGGGATGCGCGGGCGGCGACGAGGAAGGCGCGGCGGCGGGATGCGCGGGCGGCGACGAGCAGGTCGCGGCGGTAGGATGCGGGGGCGGCGATTGTTAGGTCGCGGCGACGGGATGTGCGGGCGGCGACGAGCAGGTCGCGGCAGGAGGTCGCGCGGGCGGCGACTTTAGGTCGCGGCGGCAAGGGGTGCAGGCGGCGACGAGAAGGTCGCGGCGGCAAGGGGTGCAGGCGGCGACGAGAAGGTCGCGGCGGCGGGATGCGCAGGCGGCGACGCGAAGTCGCGGCGGCGGGTCGTGCAGGCGGCGACGCGAAGTCGCGGCGGCGGGTCGTGCAGGCGGCGACGCGAAGTCGCGGCGGCGGATCGTGCAGGCGGCGACGAGCGGGTCGCGGCGGCGGGATGCGTAGGCGGCGACGGGGGGTCGCGGCGATGGGGAGTGCAGGCGGCGGGACAGGAGGCGACGACGGGGCGTCGCGGCGGCGGGATGCGCAGGCGGCGCCGAGGAAGGCGCGGCGGCGGTGGGGGGAGGCGGCGACGCGACGTCGCGGCAGCGGGAGGGGCAGGCGACGACGGGGCGTCGCGGCGGAGGGATGCGCGGGCGACGCCGAAGTAGGCGCGGCGGCGGGAGGGAGACGGCGACGGGGGGTCGCGGCAGGGTGAGGAGGAGGCGGCGACGAGGCGTCGCGGCGGGATGTGCAGGCGGCGCCAGAGAAGGCGCGGCGGCGGAAAAAAGGGGGAGGGGGGGGGGGGGGGGGCAGCGACGGTGTGTCGCGGCGACGGGGGGCGGTGATGCACTCGCGGCGGTGGGATCCGCAGGCGAGGAGGGCGCAATCACGGCGGAGGGAGGGGAGGGCGGCGACGACGTAGGTCGTGCCAAGGAGATGCTAGGTTGAGCCACACGTAGGGGGTTTGTGGCTGTGGGGTGGGCCCATGGGGAAGAAAAAACTTTGAGGGAGGGAGAAAAAAGGCTTAGGAACAACTAGCTCTATACCATGTGAAGATTGTGAATTGAACAAGTAATTAGATTAGAGGAACAACCTAGCATACATAGTTGGAAGGGAAGGTTGGAAGGGAAGGATGAAAGTGACCATAGGTTGGGTTGACCTCACTTGGGGAAGTGAGGGAACCATAGGTCAAGTGGGTTGGGTTGCCCACACTTTGTAGAAGTGAGGCAACCCTAGGCCCACTTGGCTTGGGGTAACCTCAATTGTGGGAAGTGAGGTACCCACAAGTCAAGAGGGTTGCATTTGGGGGCTCCACCACAATTGGGTGGATTGGCACCCCAAAGTGCAAGACTACACCCAAAGTTGGGTGTAGTCCCAACCCAACTGTACACCACAATTGGTGTACAGTCACATGTGTTGGCATGCTACACAATATATATTTTAACATCACGCGCTTGGGCGACACAAACAGCACCTTCAGGTGCCCTCCTCTGAGCCTCTCTATCACTGCACCACTCTCACTGGGTGACTGTGTGGCAGGGGGGTGGGGTGTGGGGGCAGGACAGCAAGCGGATGAGGGATGTTATGGCCAGGCGTTCAGGCGACGCAAGCAGCACCTTCAGGCCCCCTCCCGCTCTCAGCCTCTTCAATGCGTTGCTCTCATGGGGTGACTGTGAGACAGTGGGGGGTGAGAGGGAGATGAGGGGGCTGGAAAAATGGGGGAGGGATGTTGCTGCCAGGCGCGCAGGTGAGACAAGAGAGGGCATGTGGTCAGGGAGGGAGGACGCGAGTGGGCACCGGACAGCAGGGCGGCACGTTGCATAACCGCTACCAAAGGGCTGACGGCAAGAGTGAAGGTGACTTCTCAATTTTGCTTTCCAGCGAACCAGTCTACCTATGTATGTACACCTATGTATCTATCTACCGAGCGCCCACACACCTGGAAGGACGAGAGGAGGGCACCGGGCAGGCAGGGTGGCAGGTGCGCGAGCTGGTCTTGCATGAGCGCCACCAGTGGGCTGACCACTAGCGTGAGGCCGGGGAGGAGGAACGCTGGGAGCTGTCATGAGGGGGGTGGGTGGGTGGGGGAGGAAAGGTAAGGCAGGGTGGCAGGTGCGCGAGCTGGTCTTGCATGAGCGCCACTAGCGGGCTGACGACCAGGGTGAGGCCGGGCAGGAGGGAGGCTGGGAGCTGCGAGGGAGGAGGGTGGAGGGAGAGGGGAGAGTTGAATAGGAGAGGTAACGGGTCAGTGCAGGTGCGCGAGCTGGTCTTGCATGAGCGCCACTAGCGGGCTGACAACTAGCGGGCTGACCACTAGCACCAGACCAGGGAGGAGGAAGGCTGGGAGCTGCGAGGGAGAGGAGTGGGGTTGCGGGGTTTGTGGGGGATTTGAGTGGGTGTCAAAGGGAGCACAAGACAAGGCACAGCGGCAGGTGTGCCAGCTGGTCTTGCATTAACGCCACTAGCGGGGCCGAGGAGGAGGAAGGCTGGGAGCTGTTAGGAGAGAAGGATTGGGAAGAGAAAAGGGATGGATCGAGAGCAAGTGGCAGAAGCAGGCCGAGGTGCTGTTGGTTGATGTAGAGGGGTTCCGTGGCCAACTCTTGAGTCAACTCAAACGTCATCAGGCTGATACAAAGGACATGGGGAGTATGTGGTCTGTTTAATGGACATCAGGCTGAGGGACTTGGTGACAGTGACGGCTACCTGGTAACATAAGCGCCCACCTGGTAGCAGAGCGACTTCCCAGCGCCAGTTGGCAGCACGAGGAGCGTTGATTGGCCGCGCAGCACCCGTTGGATGGCCGCCACCTGTCCATCGCGGAACCGATCGAAGCCAAACACGTTCCGCAGCACCCTCAACAGATTGCCCTCCGAAGGGTCCCTTCCAGCTGCCTCCACCATCCCAGCTCTCTCCACTCTCTCAGCCCTCTCACTCATCTCCTCCTCTTCTCCCGCTCCTGTGTCCTCGCTTTTCCTCTTCTTCTGTACTCGTCTCTTGCCCTGTGTGGCTTTCTCCTCCTCGCCCCGGTCATCCCCCCCTTCCACCTCCTCCACCTCCTCTTCCTCCTCCTCCTCCTCCCCCTCCTCTTTCTCCTGCTTCTCATCCTGGCTCCCTTTCCCATACACCCCGTTACCTCTGTCGCTCCGTGCCACTCCTCCCACTCTCCCCACCCTCCTCTCATTCTCCCTTTGAGGCACTTTGAGGCCTGCCCCTCCCTCCCTTGCCTCTCCCCTCTCTCCTTTCTCTCCTGCCCCTTCCAACCCCATCATCGCACCATCATCCATCCATCCACCCAAGCCCATCCCACACTCTCCCCCTTCCCCCGCCCCCCCTCCCTTCCCATTTTTCCTGTAACCCCCCTTCCTCCTCCCCCCTCCATACCCACCACGGAACCTCCCAAACCTACTCCCTCCACCATTCCTACTCCCGAACCTGCTCGTCTTGGTACCATTCCCGAACCTCTTCTTACCCCCCCTACCATTAATACTCAGGCGAACAAAGTTGTCTCTCCCTTGCAACCCAGGCCGCCCCTTAGCATTCCTGCTGCTGGTGAGACCATAACCTATCCGCCCACGCCCAGCAGCACCACCAGGTGCACCGCTAGCAGCAGCCACCCTCCTCTGCTTCCTCCTCTCAGCTTCTTTCTGGCGCAGGGCTTGCAGGGCTAAGGGGTTGCCCCATCCATACTCCACTGCTGCTGCACTGCCGGTACCACCCCTGCCAGCAACCACAGCAGCAACAACAGCAGGAGAAACAGGAGTAGCAGTAGAGGCAGCAGCACCACCGCCATCAACATTATCGGCAGCACCACTCAGTCCCTTCCCTTGCTTCTTTTCTTTTCTCATCGGCACCTTCCCCGCCCTTCTCACACCACTTTCTCCCTTGGTCTTGCCGCGTGCATTTCTGCGGGCAGGCTTACCTGTTCCTCTCTCACCCTCACGAGTGACTGTACCTGCTGTGACTCTATCGGATGTGACTACATTTGCTGTAACTGACTTGTTCCCCTCCTGCTTCTCTCCCTCCACCTCCTCCCCGTTCATCCCCTCCTCACTTTCACTGCTGCTGCTGACCTCTCCCCTCTCCTTCCCCCAATCAGAACCACTGTCACTCCCACTCTCACTCCCACTTTCCTCCTCACTCTTGTCACTCCCAGACTCACTCCCCTTCCCCCTCTTACTACCGTTCTCCCCCTCTATCCCCCCATCCCCTTGCCCCTCTCCCTCCAACCCATCCTCCTTTGCCTTCCGAACAGCCAGCCGAGTGACTCTTCTCCCACCCACTCTCTCCCCTGCACCCCCCTTGCCTTCGTTACCTTGCTCCTCCCTCCTTTCCCCAGCTTCCCCATCCTCTTCACCATCGCCCTCCTCTGCTCTCACTCGCTTCCGCCCCTTCACCGTCACCGCCTGCCTCCTTCCACGTCCCCCTTCCCTACCCTCGCTTCCCCCAACCTTCTTTCCTCTACTCTCAACTACCCTACCTACACGCCCCCTAACCCCGACTAACTCACTCTCAACCCCTTCATCCCGCCCTCTCTCCCCACGCCCACATCTCTCCCCAACCACATGCTCACCGGCCCCTGCCAGCCGGCTCACAAGCTCGGCCTTTCTGCCAGATGTCGGCAGCCCATTGGCCAGCAGGGCAGCTCTCAGCTGCACCACAGTCATGCGACTCAGTTCAGCTGCTCCCCTTGCTCCACCTGCTGCTGCTACTGGTGATGCTGCGGGTGCTTCTGCTGATTTCGACGGTGGTGCTGGTGATGATGGTGGTGATGGTGATGGTGCTGATTGTGCTGCTGGTGGTGCTGCTGCCGCCCCTGATGCTTCTCCTGCCAATAGCGATGCAGCTGATGCTGATGGTGCTGCTGATTGTGCTGCTGCTGCTGGTAGTGGTGATGGCAATGGCGTTGCTGCTGCTGCTGCTGATGCTGCTGCTGCTGCTGCTGCTGATCCTGCTGCTTCTGATGGTGGTGCTGGGAATCGCACCATCCCATCAGCAGCAACTTCAGCTGCTACCCTTGTTTCTGTTGCTATTGCTACACATTGTGCTGCACCCACATCGGCTTGTCCCAGCAACGCGTCAGCCTCTCTCTGTGCCCCATCAGCATCTCTTTGCGCTACGCCAGATTCTACAGGTTCCACGTCAGCCACCTCTTGCAGCACATCTCCACCTGCCAGCTCACCAGCTCGGCATTCAACACCCCACCTCCCTGCCCATCTATCTATCCTCGTTACAAGCAGACTCGAGGGAGCAATACAGCCCAGCATGCCTACAGGACGAACAGGCTTTGCAATTCCGACCAACGCCTCCTCTCCTGCTCCCTCACCTGTCAAATTCCATCCCTCTCCTTCCTCTCCCCAATTTCCTTCCTGTCCCCCTTCTCCTCTCACTCCAACCCTTGCTTGAACCGGCCCCATCCCTACTCCCTCCACCCCCCCCACCAATCCCTCCCCCGCACTCAGCCTTTGCTCTTCGTCATCCCTCATCCCTCCACATCCTCCTCCACCCACCCTTTTCCGTTCTGCTCTCCCTCCCCGTCCCCCTATCCCTCCGCCTCCCCCTCCCCCTCCGCCTCCCCCTCCGCCTCCCCCTCCGCCTCCCCGCCCCCCTGTGCGGCACACAACAAGGCAGAACGGTCTGCTGCTATGCCACACTACTGGGCCCACCTGTTGAGCTTGCAGAGATGAAGTGCTGTTTCTCCGGTTGCCTCTACGCAAGCCCCCGCCATCCCTCGCACCGCACTCTCTACTATCATCTTCATTGCCTCGTTTCGCATGCTTCTTCTGGTCTCCCTTTCCTGTCCTATCCGCCTTAGCGTTGTCTCTTCCGATTTTTTTGCTTTCTGATCCCTTTGCGCCTTCAGCAGCAGCAGCAGCCCTGTGAGTAGAACCAGCTTCGATAGTGGTACCTTCGTGAGATCTCTTCCGCTTTCTCCTCTCCCGCTCCTTCAGCCGAGCATATGCGCTGTACTTCTCAGCTGTCATACAATTTGGTGGGGAGGGGAAAAGAGGTTCTGTTCTGAAGCACTGTTCTGAAGCGTTGCATAACCTCTGCCCTGGTTTATATCTGTTCCGAACAGAGCTAGTTCCCCGTCTCAGCCTACTGCTACTGGTAACGTGCCACGTGCATTCGTAACTACACAAACGAGTGCAGCGAAATTGCAACGTATCGTACATGGTAACCTGAAGCGTATGAATTCACCTGGAACGGGAATACCGGGTTAGTAACACGGAATCTTGAGAAGTCCGAAAAGTAAGGTGCATTAACTCCTCTGCTGTGCGATTTCTCCCTCCATTATGAAAAAGCAGCGCGGTTTATGGTGTCGAGCAGCTCACCTACAGCCGGATCGGCCTCCACGTCAGCGCGGGACGGCGCGCGGCCGTGTGACGCGGCGAAAACTCGCTCCCATTTCTTGAGCCGCCGACGAAGCGTCTCCAACTCGCCATCGCCGTGATTAGCATGACCCCTCTCCTCCCTAGTACGACCCCTCTCCTCCCTCTCCTCATGTTTGAGTCCACTCGCGCGTCGACGCCTCTCCGACTCGCCAGCATCACCAGTACTGAGAGGCTGCTCCTTCCCTTTTCTACCCCTCTCCTCCCTCCCCGCATCAGGCGATTTCTCACTCTCGCCGCCTTGCGGCCGTCCTGTGTTGGCTTCAGTCGATTCGGGCCCTTCGTCAGAATAAGAACGGATTCCGTCGGGACGTTCGTCAGAATTGGAACGGATTCCGTCGGGCTCTCCGTCAAGTTGGGAACAAATTCCTCGATTTGCCGGCCAGCTGCCTACTCTCTCCCTCAGCTCGACGTTCGTTCCCAACGCCTCCTGTTCCATACTATTGGTTCTAATCATGCCTGGAACACGCATCGACGCAACTCTCTCGTTAGCGAGTCCGACAGTCTCGCGGCCAATGCTATCACTCGCAGGTGCAACCGCGGATTCAAGTCCCGCACACGAAGCCATGGAAAGTGGAAAAGGCGCGACAAAGTGCTATGCGTGTAACATTAGTAGGCTCGAAAGATTCCTTTGCCAGCAACTACCAACTTGGTGGCCTTAGAAGCAGGGGCCATGGACAAGGAAAGAGATTAGTCCTAGTGTGGCAGTGGTGTATGGGGTGATCTGTCGATCGAAGGACGTAGATCAGCTGGCGGTTTGCTCGGAAATTTAAATTCCAAAATCTTCAGGGAGGGTGACAGAGATGGATTTTGGCGGGTGTTATGAGTTGTAAAACAGAGTTGAGCGGAATAACGAATAACGAGGCTCTAACTAAATGAACTCACAATACAATGAAGGCACGTGCTAATATAGTGACTAGCCTAGCTAGGACGGAACCTCGGTAAAGGTAAAGGTAAAGGTTATAGGGGAAACCCCCTTTGGTATTACCCCGGCTGTCGGTCGTAACCCGCCTCCCCATGTGTTTACACGCCTCGCTGGGTAACGAGGTTGTTCTACGTCCTGGGGTGATCTATCTATCCTGAAGTCGGCTGTCCTTCGATCGATCTGTCGGGGTTGTACGCGAAGCAGTCAACCCCGATAAGGAAAAGTGGATTTCCTTACGCTACCACCCCCTTAAGAAAGGTGGTCAATATCCGCAGCTCGCTTGCGGGCGAGGTAATCACCAAGAAGCGGGGAAGCTTCAAGCGAGGCGGATGGCACCCAAGTGTCGTCCTCACTGGTGCGTATCAGAATTAAGGGGCAAGAATGATGGACTAGGAATGTGAGATGAGTACAAGAAGGTCTAACCCCAAAGTGTTGTACTCAGTAGAGGCTACCCCACTACAGCCTACAGACATATAAAACACAGTTTGACACACCCCCATATGTAAAGCGAGGGATAGCACAAACAACCAACGGTCACAAGACCAGTCAAGCAAGAGAACAAAGCAAAGCAAAGCTCATGGTGGATCTCAAGATCACCACGCAGTCTGAGCACAAGCAAGCGGCCACAAGGCCAGTTCACATGCAGAGTTATAAAAGCACAAGCAGTACAGTGATCACAACCTAGCAAGAGCAAGCATGCAGGTATATATATATATATATACCACAGCACAAGGCAAAGTCAAGCAACCAGCAGGTGAGGCAGAGTAGGCACAAGGCCTAGAGCAGTGCAGAAACGCTGATGATCACCAGACCAAAGGGCCTTGGTGAAGACATCAGTTGTGTTGGCCCGAGAGGCCACATAAGCAAGACGAAGCTGACCACGCTGCTGCAACTCTCGAGCAAGAAAGTAACGAAGAGCAATGTGCTTCGTTCTGTGCTCCAGTCTCTGCTCCCGACACAATGCAATCATGGCCTTGTTGTCGACGTACAGAAGTGGAGGAGAACGAGGCCGCTCACCCAAGTCGGTCAGCACGTAGGTCAGCCAGCGTAACTCCTGTGCAGCAATGGCCCCAGCGTAGAACTCGGCCTCATAGCTGGAACCAAGCACAAAAGACAAACGAGTGGACCTCCACGAGACAGAACCAGAGCCAAGACTGAAAGAGTAACCCGGTGACGACCGCTGAGTCGCCTGGTCGTCAGCCCAAGAAGCGTCGGAGTCTGAGCCCCGTCCTCCAAGCAAAAGCCCCATGCCCGATGTACTGCACAAGTAACGCAGTACCCTATTAGCAGCTACCCAGTGCTCCTTCCGGTGTCTACCGGGAGCAACGAAGCGGGCCAGGATGCTGAGAGTGTCAAACATTATACATGTTTATATTGTGTAGGCTATAGTGGGTTTAGCCTTAGAGAGTACAACATTGCTAGGGTTTCCTATTTGTATCACCCTGCTGTCTAGTTCACTCCATTCTCGTTCACTTCTGGATTCTAACATGGTATCCGACGCCTAGGTCAGGACCTAGGACCGACGTTGGTTAGGGCCCACCGTTCCGCCGCGCCCTTGCACGACCGTGTCTGATAGTACCTCGCGCCGTCGTGCGCCCCTACCCGCGCCGTCGAGCGCCCTTACTAGCGCCGTCGAGCGCCCCTTCTAGCGCCGTCGTGCGCCCTGTTGCTAGTTGCGCGCTGCCCACTAGCCTCGCACGCAGCCCCTCGCGGCCCCGTGCAGCCCCGTGTGCCGTCCGCCTGCCTACCCGCGCCCTCGAGCGCCTGCCTACCCGCGCCCTCGAGCGTCTGCCTACTCGCGCCCTTGAGCGCCTGCCTACCCGCGCCCTCGAGCGCCACCCTGCCGCCCTGCCCTGCAGGCCGCGCGCGGGCCTGCTCTGCACCCGCGCAGCCGCCCCTGGACCCCGCGGCGCGGCCCCTGGACCCCGCGACGCGTCGCCCTGCTCGTCGCGACACCTCTGCGGGACCCGGGCGTCGCCCCTGCCTCGTCGCGACGCCCCTACGGGACCCGCGCGTCGCCCCTGCCTCGTCGCGACGCCCTTGCGGGACCCGCGCGTCGCCCCTGCCTCGTCGCGACGCCCCTGCGGGACCCGCGCGTCACCCCTGCCTCGTCGCGGCGCTTCCGCGGGACCCGCGCGTCGCCCCTGCCTCGTCGCGACGCCCCCGCGCGACCCGCGCGTCGCCACTGGGACCCGCGCGGAGTCGCCCCTGCCCGCCGCGGCGCCCTGCCCTACCCCGCGCCCGCCCTTGGGACGGCCGCCCCTGGCCCCTGGAGCAGCTGCACCTACAGCCGCCCCTGGACTCTGGAGCAGCCGCCCCTGCAGCAGCCGCCCCT